AACCAGAAAGATGATTCAGAGGCTTTGGAGTGTTTTGGATGTCCGGTTGCAAGTAGTGCTGAGGCTGATGTGGTGGATGAGGTTTACCGCAGGGATCTAGAAGGCCAGGCTCAAAGGCTTCGAGACACCCAGAACTTTCAACACCAAGCCTGCGAACAGCTCCTGGAACAACTCCCTTACAAACCAAGCCCCAAACACCGAAGCCCCATTAAGGAAAAGCAAGCTCGTTACCTTGTCTTCGGACTGTACTCACACGGCAACCACTATGGAGTGACGAAGCATACCCAAATGTTCCCCGAAGTCACTAGGTACATCCTTGCGTACTTACAGCACTGGAGCACTGAGACCTTGCAATGCACCTCATTCGTCATCAACGACAACTGTCATCTGGACCTACATCGTGATGTGCATAATCTCCCAGGGACCTCTAACTACCTCATAGGAGTGGGAAGGTATCAAGGGGGAGAGTTGTGGGTTGAAAGTACGGACGAGGAATTGAAGGCTTCAGGCAAAGCAGGAGTTCGGAGGTTGCACCAGGGTCATTGGATGAAGGGTGTCAATTTGGAGACTCGTCATAAGGTGGTGTCCTTTTCAGGTAGGAAATGGCATGGAACTCAAGAGTGGAAGGGAGATCGTGTGACCGTGAGCGCATATAGCAGTAGAGGCTGGCCGAAGGTAGGCGCTGAGGTTCAAGAACACCTGAAACACCTCGGTTTCCCGGGTCCCGGAGAACTCCCCGTTGACCAAGCTTACGTTCTTAAGACTCGAGGCCCCTGGAGTGGCCCTTTGAAGAACCCAAAGGTTAAGGACGAAGAGGCCATCAAACGTAAACTCTACTTGCTCCATGCGGCGACGGGTCATGGGAGTGTTAGGCACATGATTGAGGCCCTGAAACGTAGAAACGCGGACCCCAAAGTCCTTGAGCTTGCTAGACAATTCCGGTGTTCTGTTTGTGAAGAAAAACAAAGGGTACAGCCTCGACAGGTGGCCTCCTTAGAACCTCTCCCCCCGAAGTTCCATACCCTCACGGCTGATGTAGGACACTGGACTCACCCCGGGACGGGGGAACAACAGAATTTCATGGTGATAGTTGATGAAGGTTCGAGGTATCGTGCCGCTAAGATCCTTACAAAGGGAAAAGCTCAAGCACCCAGCGCGGCCTTGTGCCTCAATTTCCTGACGGAAGGATGGATCCAACATTTCGGCCGACCAAAGACACTGAGGCTCGACCCCGCAGGTAGTTTTAGGGCCGGTTCGGTAGAAGGGTTTTGTGACCGTCATGGTGTTTACTTGGATATTATTCCAGGGGAGGCACACTGGCAAATCGGAGTGGCTGAGCAGGCCATTCAAGGAATCAAGCAGCTCATGAATAAGACAGTACAACTGGACAAGGAAGTCAGCGCGGAGGAATTGCTGAGCGTGGCCGTGTCCGTGTTCAATCAAAGGGAGATGGTTCGTGGGTTTTCACCGGCTCAACATGTGCTGGGAGTAAGTCCGGACGCAACAGGACAGTACGTCAAGCTACCAGAAGGCCCCGAGCATGGACCAATCCTCAACAAGTCGATGGAGGAGTTCAAGAGGGAGGCGGGCCTACGAGCTGAAGCCGAAAAGTCATTGGCAGAGTGGAATGCCCAGCAGAGGATACAACGTGCCCTGAACTCCAGGTCTCGACCAGAGTGTCGATACCACCCCGGAGACCTCGTTTATTTCTGGCGGACGCAAGAATCAAACAAGAGCAAGAAACAGCCAGGAACGAACCAAGGACGGTTCCTGGGGCCCGCACGAGTGCTGGCCATGGAGACGAGAACCGACGAGGCAGGACACCGACGCCCTGCACATGCCATCTGGTGCGTACGAGGCCGCAGCCTCATAAAGTGCAGTCCGGAACAGCTGAGGCCCGCCAGTCAAAGAGAGGAACTGATTGAGGCCCTCTCAGATCGCGAGGCCACTCCCTGGACTTTTACAAGGCTAGCGGAAGAAGTGGGAGGTAATCAGTATCAAGACATTTCTGGCGAAGTTCCGAGCGCGGAGGAGTGGGCCAGGGCACAGGATCCACTACAGGAGGCACCTCCAACAAGACATCGTATTACCACCAAGAGACCCCTTTCGGAGCTGAGTCCCGGAGACCAGGAGATGACAGAGGACCTGGAGACCGGAACGAGCCAGCCCAGCAATCTGCGTCGGATGGAGACAAGGGAGCCACAGCAAGGACTACACACCCTAGAGGGCCACTGGACTGAGGATGTTAGGCAGTCTGCGTGGTTGACAGAACACACAAGTTTCTGGACAGATAACGCGGCAGCAGTGGAGGTGGCCATCGACGTCCCCGACAGCAAGCGAAGCGCGGAGACAATGGTCCGCAACCTACAAAACTTCTTCGTGGGGGCCCTGAAGCGCAAGGCCGTGGAAGTGAGTGAGCGACGGTTGTCCCCCAGTGAGCGGGCGGGCTTCCAAGAGGCAAAAGGGACGGAAGTGAGAAACTTCATTGCAGCGCAGGCGTTCGAAGCCCTTCCGGAGCACCTCAAACCAAGTCGGGACCAAGCTGTTGGTATGAGGTGGATTCTCACCTGGAAAGTCCGAGAAGACGGGGGGGTGAAACCAAAAGCAAGAGCAGTGCTTTTGGGGTACCAGGACCCCGGATACGCCCACCGAGCGACTACAGCTCCAGTAATGTCTAGGCAGACACGCCAACTGATGTTACAATTAGCAGCTAACAAGCGATGGCGACTGATGAAAGGAGACGTCAGTGGAGCGTTCCTCCAGGGAAGAGATTACCCCTCCGAGTTGTACTGCGTTCCGTGTGACGAAATCTGCGAGGCTATGGGTATCGCCCCCGGGTCTATCACGAGGCTCAAAAAGGCATGCTACGGACTAGTGGATGCGCCATTGGAATGGTACAAGACCGTGGCCGAGTTCCTGGCGAGTTTAGGGCTAGAACGGCTATGGTCAGACTCGTGTGCTTGGATGTGGCGGAAAGATGGGGTCGTTCGAGGAATGATTTCGGGGCATGTTGATGATTTCTTGTTCGGTGGTAGGGATGATGATTCGGAGTGGCAAGAAATCCTTAGACAGATTCGAGAACGGTTCAAGTGGGGAGATTGGGACAAGGACAATTTCGTTCAATGTGGAGTGCAGATCGAAACGACTACGAATGGTTTTGCCTTGTCACAACCCAAGTACTCAGAAGGGATCGAAGCCATCAATCTGAGTTCCGCCCGGCGCACCATGCGGAAAGCCCCCACCACGGACCAGNNTCCGAGCACTTCTCGGGGGCCTGAGTTGGCATGCACAACAAGTAGCGCCTCATGTGTCTGCAGATGTGGGACTTATGCTGTCTGAAGTGAATCAGTCCACAGTAGAGACCCTCATAAAAGCCAATATCCTCCTGGAACACACCAAAGCCCGCAAGGACCATAAGATGTTGATCACTCGACAGGAAGATGAGATGCACTTCTATGCTTGGGTGGACGCTGCCAACCAGAATAGGGTGGATGGCGGAAGTACTCAAGGGATATTTGTGGGTGCGTCTTCCGGAGGGTTACTCAAAGGCGAGGTTGAGGCCATTAGTCCCATAAGCTGGCACTCTACAAGGATCGATCGCACCTGCAGGAGCCCAGGAGCAGCGGAAACCGCTGCTGCGGTTAACGGAGAGGACACGCTCTACTACGTGCGATACCAGTGGAGTGAAATGCTCTACGGCCGCCCCGATCTACGACGACCGGACGCCAGTGTGGCACAAGTACCAGGGTGCGTGATTACGGACTCGAGGAACGTCTACGACAAGCTGGCAACGGCGATGTTCTGCGTGAATGGCGCGGAGAAGAAGGCGAACATAGAACTGATGGGACTGAAGGAAGCACAGGGAGCTACAGGAGTGGTTTTGCGGTGGGTGCATTCAGAAGCGCAGCTAGCAAACGCCCTCACGAAGGCCCAGAATCACAAGGAACTCGAGCTCTACTACCGGATGAACCATCAATGGCGCATTGTGGAGGACGAGGAGATGAAGTCAGCAAGGAAAAGAAAGAACGAAGGCTTGGATCCTCTACAACAGTCTTCTAGCTAGGAGAAGCAAAAGGGAAAAAGCTATTTCCTGATCTCTGAATTAGGGGAATGGGGGGCATGCAAGTGAAACCACTTGTGCTGCTCCTCACGAGCACTCGGATGTGCAGCATCTTGGTCAAAAGAGACAGTTAGGTCCGAAGCTTGCACCGTTCGCCGTGCCATAGCTCACTAAGCAACGACTGCTCTGAACGCCTACAAGCTTGTGCATCCCGGCTGCCCAACTACTACCTTGAGGCCTTCAGGGCTTAGGGTTTGGGGTCTAGGGTCTAGGGTCTAGGGTTCAGGGCAGGGGCATGGGTTCCAGGCATGATTAGAGCAGGTTTTGGGGACAGCTTCTAGTGTAGTTCACTTCTACCAGGGAACGGGTAGAATAGACCGGTTTAGAGTGAAGCCCCATAAGGCCAGAGTTAAAAATTGAAAACTCAAAGCCCCGAACGGTATAACATAAGCTCTGATGCTCAAACCCCCGGCAATAATTGGCGCAGGGTCCTGAATCATCTCAAATCCGTCAACCCTATACCCTAACTCCAGTCCAGAAACCGCTGCTTAATGAACGACCCTGCAAGCCGCATCCAGAAACCCTGATAGAAAGCCTCTACAGGAACCCCTGAAGGAACCAAATATACAGGCAATAGTGATTAGAAGAGGGTTGTGGTGTACATCAATTATGCTATAGTTCCTAGGAGCCCCCCCAAAAAATGTAGGAACTCTTAAGGCCCCTGTAAAACCTCAACCCTGAACCCTGAAGCTTAAACCCTGAATTACTAAACCCTAAACCCTAAACCCTAAATTACTAAACCCTGAACCCAAAACCCTAAACCCCAAATTACTAAACCCTGAACCCAAAACCCCTATAAGCCCTAAACCCCCAAACCCTAAACCCTGAACCCTGAACCGTGTAAACCCCTATAAACCCTAAACCTACTTGTCCGGGCAGCTGGGGATCCAGGTGCACGGCCGCGCGCAGGAGGACGCGGAACGCCTCCGGCGTGACCTCCTCGGAGCTTCAGGGTTTAGGGTTTAGGGTTTAGGGTTTAGGGTTTAGGGCTTCGGGTCCAAGGGCTTGGCGCGGCTTACGGCGGTAGTGGCCTTCATAATTAGGATTTTGGGGTTCCTTTAAAGGGCTCCTTATAAAGGGTTCTAGAAGAGATCTATAATAGGGCTCTATATTAGGGGCCGTAAAAATTAGAAGAGAGCTTTGGGGTTCCTTTGAAGGGCTCCTTAGAGGGTTCTATAAGAGATCGATAATAGGGCACTATATTAGGGGCCTTAACAAATAGAAGAAGGTTTTGGGATCCTTTGAAGGGTTCCTTTAAGGGTTCGATAAGGGCTGCTATAAGGGTTTAGGGTTTAGGGGCCTTAGTAATTTCAATAGGGTTTTGGTGCCCACTATACAAAAACTATAATAAGGAGTCCCCACAATAGTATAGGTAATTATTAAGCCCCTTATAGTACGTACTCGATTTCGGTTTCTAAGGCTGGGGAATTGGGATTTTGGGGCTGCGGATTTGGGCTCTATAAGTTAGTGATGACCATTTCTATTTTCTAACCATGCACTCCCCCCTATGCTCAACCCAATGAACCATCTTTGAAAATCATCCTTGTGACCCTCAACCCCCAACCCAAAGCCCCAATCAAATAAACCATCTTTGAAACTCATCCTTGCAACCCTCAATCCCCACCCCAAGGCCCCCAATCCAATAAACCATGATTGAAAATCATCCTTGCAACCCTCAATCCCCACCCCAAGGCCCCAATCAAATAAACCATCTTTGAAAATCATCCTTGCAACCCTCAATCCCCAACCCAAGACTCCCAACATACACCCATGCCTTGAAGCACTCCCGCAAAGCACCCTCAACCCCTAACCCGCGAAAATAGAAATGGTCATCTTTAATCAAATATCTATAAGAGGAAAAAAGTTTAGGAATAAGGTAGGCATAGGAAACAAGAATAATATTATTTCAACAAAATACGATTATTATTGAGTCATTATTTAGGCTTGACTAGTTCGCCGTATTCTTCTTCAAGTTCCCGAATACTTTTATTCAACCACTTAACAGTATCCTTGGCTTCACATCTAACATTTAGTGTCTCCGCGACCCCCCAAGGGCCCTTTAATAGAGTCGTTCTGGTCCGTAATAATGGGTATTTCGGGTAGATTAGAGGGTAGTTGGGGGGTCAAGAAGCTGAAGCTGTTCTGAAACTTCGTCTCTGAGGGCAAAATGAAATCCACGAACAGATCAAGAAAGCTATGGCACCTGCCACCTACACCGCAGTCCTCAACCCCCCTCTGTACTTTCAACCGAAACCTTTTGCAACACCTCCTGCCCATCAACAACCTAAAGGCCCTACGTTCCTGAGTGACCCCGACATAACAAGGGTACCCTTTTTCCTATAGTCGGGTCTTCATAAGGAGACCCCAAAGTAAAAAGGGCAAAAGGGTACTACTCAGGTACCTAAAGGCCCAGAAAAAGACGATGTCAACCTGACGCCTGCATCAAGCATCCAAACAGTCGAAAGTCATGCACCAATCCAGGCAACCCAGAGCCTTAACGGTTTAAGGTTTAGGGTTTAGGGTTCAGGGTTTAGGGTTTAGGGTTTGGGTTTAGGGTTTAGGGTTTAGGGTTTAACACCAGGAGACCTCGACCAAATACCCTGACCTCAAAACCCTCAACCACCTCAATCCCCAAAACACGTGGCCTTCAGCACCAGCTCCTTGCTCTTCGCTTCCTGGAAACTCCCGTACCTCGAGAACCCAGCAGTACCGTAGTAGCAGCAGCAGTCGTCGTAGTGGTAATGGTCGTCGTCGTAGCAGCAGCAACAGCTAGTAGGTAGCAGCAGCGGGAGATGTTGCACAGTCACAGGGTCCCGAGCCCCTGGGATTGTCGACTCCTGAAACCATGAACTGCGTTGGTCGTTTTAGGGTTTAGGGCAAAGTTTAGGGGTCACCGGATCTTCCGGATTCGGGTGTTAAGAGTTAAGGGGTCACGGTTTTGGAGCAGGCCTCGTGAACCCTAGATATGTAATCTGTAGGCAAGAGGCACTGCAGGGGGCTGTCCCGATGGCATTGCTAAACAAAACCCCGAGACAAAGACCTTACCTGAACCCGGGAACCCCGCAAACCTCACCCTAAACCCTAAACCCTCAACCCCCCAACCCTCAACCTCAACCTTGAAACACGAGACCCAGATCCTCATCTGAAGTTCTAAACCCTCCACCGGCAAGGCACAGGGCCGCGTTCAAGGGATCCGACAGGTTTGCCAGCAGCGCGCGCACGAAAGGGAAGCGCTCCCCTGCGGTTCAAGACCAACCAGGAAGTATTCGATAAGTAGAATCGAGAGAAAGCATGGATTGCTAGGCTTTTTATTATAACTAGCGGCCTCTGAGGTTTTAGAGGCTGTGTTGCTGAATTTCTGCAAGGAAGCCTTGTTGGGGCTCTAGCTCAGTTTTCTTGTCACCCCTTTCCCCATTGTGTCAGTGCCATCAGGAGCTCTGGTGTCTCTTTTTCAATCTTTGAACTTGTTCTACGACTTTGGAGGGCTGCCCAATAGCTTCAATATGCAAGCGTTTAGCGGTCCTAATAGTAGTAATATTAATACTAGTAATAGTAGTAATAATAGTAATAATAGTAATAGTAATAATAGTAGTAATAATAATAAGTTTGCTGAATGGCCTTATCTGGCCTTTCCCCTCCCCCAAAGACTTTCTTTCAGGGACGATCCGTTTGGCTTGCCATCTTTTTATGCTGAAGTAAAGTCGCACCACTGCCGTACGAGTAGTGATGGTAATAGTTGCGTTGATGCTATCATTTTCAAAGTAGTACTACTAGTAATTGGTAGGGGATCTGGCAAAATGGTGACCAACAGATGCACTTTCGCTCTGGAGATGCCGACACTTGCGTCAGAAACTCCGAAGAATGAGTTACAGGGAGAAGCTCAGGTAATGTAAGGGAATAATTACCTATACTATTTTTTTTTTATTTATTTTTTTTTTTTTTTTTGGGGG